CTCTTGCTTCTGTAGTCAATTGATTTCTGGAAATCTCTCTCATTACTTGATAAATTGCATAAATTGAGGAGCCGACCTGATCACTCTCTACTCTTCACCATTTAGGGTGGGTAGCTGCTACAAATTTCTCGAGGCTCTCCCATAGCGAAAATTAACCAGCTACTAAGCAACAATGAGCAACGTCACGCTATTGATCTTAGACTCATTTGCGATATGGTGATACCCTATCACTATTATTCTCTGTCAAATATCGGTCAACTCCAAAGGCCGTCACTCTTTGCACTACAAACTTTGTAGAAGCAGATTCATTAAACATTCAAAATGCAACACTATTTCCAGGGCCTTAAAATCTGCTAGTATCCCGTCAACCCACGAGCCCACTGATCAATACAGTTCTAATTGTAAACGGCCTGATGGTCCTATCATGATCCCTTGGAAGAGGGAGGAGGGAATTCCCTAACCTGGGATTTCTTATGAATCGATACTCTTGCCCCTTCCTATATAACTAGAGCTGCTATACTGGGCGCCGAAATGAATAAACTCACCATCGCTACCTGCTAACTATACATTCCTACCATTGCCATGACATTAACAGAGTTTGGCTCTCATACCCTGGTTTTTCTTAAGGAGCTGGGGCACCGGATCTCTGCTAGAATCGAGGATCCTAACGAGCGATACTACCTACATCAGAATTTGGCCCTAAACATAATAAAGTGCAATCATCTCAGCTTTATACTTTTCATGACAGAAACCCCTGATTGAACATTCTGTGCATAGGATAGGCTTAGGCTATTTTGCTCCCAATTATAACGATGGCGCTAAAAGGGAACTTGGATAAGAAAATAAATGGCCAAAAAGCAAAGCTAATGCTACTTTTTAGATGCAGAATTCACAAATTTTTGCTTACTTAAATTATTTTAATTATATAAATTTTAAATTAAATTAAATATTATACTAATTTATAATTATAATCTTTATTTAAATGAATTTATCACATTTATCATGTAATTACCTATCATATGTCATTTATATTTTTGGAATATTGGATCACCATCCTTTTTAACCTTTTATACGAACATTATATTTTAGATAAAATTTTTATTTATATGAGAATATTGTAATTAGTGTTGAAACGGCCCGATTTGGGCTAGATTTTTAAGAAGAGCCTGATTAAGATTTCAGTCAAAATAGATATTTTGCTCATAAGTAGCAGAAAGATTTAACCTCTATTTGCCAAATCTCAATTATTTTGGCTAAAATATTAATCGGGTCTCTTTAAAAATTGGATCATTAAACAAGACAAATTGTCATCAATCTATGTAATATAATAAAAATAATGCAATAAAATGCTGATTATTTTATGTTTCACATTAATTTTGTTTTACTTGGGAATATATCCCAGTGAAATAATTTTTTTCATTTAAAATTTCATTTGATTTAGGGGTCTGCAAATTGGAGGGTTTTAACTAACACACCCGTCCACTCGTTATTTTGATATTTTTTTCAAACTACCGCCTACCCCTCTATGGGTTTTTTTAAATTTACACCGACCATCCAATGTTTTTATTTTTTGATGGCTTCTTAATAGTAGTCTGTTGGGCTCATTTCGCCCGAAAAATATTAAAAAAATTTGTAGATGATTGTAACATGATAACTGCTAAAATATGAAGACACGGTCGGAAAGTAGGTTAGGTGATCGTATTCCTCATTCCAACTGCTTTTGTGAATAAAGTTTCCTATAGCCAAGATAATTATCTAAAGTCAAGATTGACGATTTGTTCAGTCAATATTTTGATCTCTTGTTATCAGGTAGCATATCGAAAAAAATGGGTATTGATCCAGGGTATAATGAATCTTTAAAATTACAAGTAATTCCTTAGCAGGAATGAGGATTAATGGGATGATTCGGAATAAATAATGTATATATATAACAATATTATGTTACTAAAAACAACTCTTAGACGGGCTCAATCTTTTTGGGGGTGAACATTATAAAGCAGCTTCCACAAAGCGCTCCATTATGCGAAAATAAATACATAATCATTCAATTCCATATAATAATATATCAGATTCATATTTATCATGTTCTTGTATATTAATTTGCATGTATAATTAATGAATGTTCTAATTCATTTATTTTTATTTCAAAAAAACTACGAATTTGCTTCTTTGTCCAAATATAACTAGAAACTTCGATCAAGAACATAAATTATAAAAATCCAAGGGCCCCTAAAGGCTTGAACCAGTTCTAAGAGTTGCTTTTAATAACATAACATTATTACATATTTATATTATTTGTTTGCTTTAAACTCAAGATTGTGTTTTTAAAAGTAATAATTTGCGATATCATATTTTGTATTCATATTCCATTCGAATTTTTTATTATAATATTTTTGTTAATAATATTCCCTAATATATGAATCGAATAATTCGTTTTAGGGATAATGTATAAAACCTATTGCTATGATAGTCTGCGCACTTTTCAAATTGTTTCGTTCATCATTACTGATTAAAATTATAAATTGCATATCAGAATCTATAACATAGAACCTGAATACACTTATATTACAAGATTATAAGACATTAATTTATATAGTTTTAAAAATGATTTGTATAATTTTTACAGTTTAGCTAAGAAATTTAATTTAGGATTCGAAACTATTATATTTTTTTCTGAAAAAAATATTTAGTCAGCTTTGGGAATGAGTAACTTTTTGTAAAGAGTTAAATAAGAATTTATTAAATCTTTTATCCATTGCTCGTTCACATTGAATACTATAAAAAAAATATATTAATAATCGATATTAATAATATAGTTATAAATGTATTTAAAGAGAAAGAAAAGAGACAAGGAAGAAGGGGGGGGGGAGGTGTAGCTTTTTCAAGATTTGGTTTAAACTTAAAATAACAAAAATAAAAAATGAACAATGATATAACTTTGGATTTTTTTTTAAATTTAACTTTAACAAACTCATGAGGGATCTATGTAAGAAAAAGAAGAGATATTTAATAAGCAATTTTCATTTATCATGTGTTCTTCTTATTTTCAAATTCCTCCCCCCCCCCCCCAATTATATAAATGCTATCCTAAACAACCCTACTCTCTTTTAAAACAAATTCTTACCCCTCATTCATAGATCGATTTCGCGGCTCGGTAAACAAAATATTTTTTATATACTTCAGTGCGAATTTACTCTAACTGTGAAAGCAGGGTTAGATACTCAACTGGTAATGCTTAACAATTTTATATTTTATTTGCAATGGCAGGTATAAAGATTGGTTTTAAAATACAAAGACCCTTTTAGCAGTATTTCAAAAAATAATTAACAATTATCACAACTTTTTTTTTGCTATATTACAAATATAAACAAATGTATAACTATCCTATTCTTTTCAACATATATTTTTTTTCTTAACTAAAAACACTTAGAAACTTGTTTTTGACCCATTCCATGCAGGAGATAATGATGATGCACGGCTTTTAGATAACTTTAAAATTTATTAAATAACCACCAAATTTTATCAACTATTTTTTAAATATATTAACCCTACCCCATATCTCTATATCCCGTTATATTCCTCTCGGCTAGATCCAAATTAGTACCTGGACCAGCCGGTTTTCAATTTTACAAGGTTGCTCAAACCGGTCCAGTTATTTTGCATATAAGGCCTAACCAGCTGAACACCAAAATAAATAACTATTTAATTGGGGATTGGTTACATTGAAAACACTACATTTTATGGATTATCATTTCTATTGAATCTCAGAATTTCATCAATAATCTAACCCAATGATAACTTTTACCCGGGTCCGTTAATTAATTTTGCCCGGACCGACACCCTAAATAAATTATTTCATACTTATCCCGACAGCGATCGCGGATGGGGCGTTGCAAATTTCTAACCCTAATATTGTGCGAGAAGTTTCTCAGAAAAAATGGGTTTCCGTCAGTGATCAAACTCGGAAGGTGTTCCACTTAAGTCCAAATCTCTAGCCCTCTGAGCCACTAAAATACGATTTTGTTTTGAGATATATGTGTTAAAAAATAATTGTGAACATTGACTGCTCATTATATCGTTAGTCTTCAACATAACCCAATCCTCAAATCTATTTGGAATTGGAACCAAATTTATTACGTGCCAATTCTTAAGGAATTTTAGCGAAAATGATCATATAAAATTTTATTTTTGTTATAGTTTGTTAGATTTTTTACAAAACTAAAATATATATATACACGAATTGAATTTCGAAATTAAGAAATCTTTTTATTTATTGATTTTTGAAAAGACAAAACCAAAAATAAAATTGGTTCACGTATTTTTCTTGAAGCAATGATGATTATATATATATATATATTTTATCATTTAATATATATATTTAATTTGGTATAAAAATCTATTTATATTCGCTTTTGAGTTTAAAAAAAAATAACTTAATATGGTTGGTAAAAAAAAGAAAGTATGAATAGAACAACCTATAATCGAAATTATTTTTAAAAAAAAAATACATGCACGAAACTTTTCATATAATAATTTTAGACATCGAATCATTGTATTAGTGTTGTTAATAGGTAAATTAACAACACTAATTTGTGTATCAGAAAATTTTCAAGCTTGCGTTATATTTTAGCCGCATAATATTACCTGAATCTGCAAATTTCTCCAATAAATGTCCAAACATTTGCGCATCAGAAAAATCTTCTGACTCGCGTAATATTTTTCTGGCTAAATATCGAGTTCGCCATTCTTAAAAATCGGCTCAAATGAAGCGATTTTGCATCACTAATCTATAGGATAAATAAAAATACGTAATGAGTTTATTTTTTAAAATAAAATATAAATTTAATTTATTATTTTTTAAAAAATAAAATAAATAATATTCTCCTAAAGCCTTTGAAAATAAATTTTAAATTAGGAATTATTTTATGTTTAAAAAACGATAATAGTTTTTTATAATTTTTTATAGATAACTAGATTTTTTTTAAAACAAAATTTACAATTATTTTAGAAGCAAATTAAAAATTTATTTAAATTTAATTTAAATTAAAAATTTTTTATTTTTTTATACTAAAAGAAAAGTGACATTGGTTCATTAACTTGCACAAGTAAGTCACTAATATAATATAATAAATTGAATTCAAATAATTTATAATTTTGTTTGTAACGAGAAAAAAAAAGGTAAAGAGTGAAAAGGGGGTAAAGACACTAATTCAAAAATTGTTATTTAAAATTTATTGTTTATTTGAAATTTAATCAAAAATAAAACTTAATTTACCTAAAATTATTTAAATGGTAAAAAAAAATACTGGGGAATTTATATTTCTGAACTATAGATTTAGATACTAATTCCTATACTTCTAGATGTTCAGACCCACTAATTCATAAATTATCATTATAACATCAAATAAATTCATGTTATTTTATCTAGTGTGTTTAAAACCTAATTTTAGGAAAACGAACTAAATTCATTTTTGCGAATCGTTTTGACAATGATAAACACCAATGGAATATAATATTACCTTACATTATTATATAAATGATAAAAAAATGTAAAATGGTGGGAAACAAATATTCAGCATTCTTGCTATTGATATTATCGCATTATAACTTTTTCGAGAAAGGAATAACAACGCTATCAAACGTTATTTATGCTAATTTTAATCACTCATCTAGTGTTACGAATATTGATTCAACGGATAAGGGGAATAACTTGAAAGAATTTCATAACGTATTAGATGGTAAGCAATTTTACAAAAAAAATGTTAAACGAGTTACATTTTCCAAGCTTGACCCGTGCCAGCAGTACGGCTGGGAAGAAAATATAAACTTCAACAGATCCATTGGGCAAAATGTCATTAATAGTTCATCACATAATTATAACGAAGAACGTAACGATAATCTGACGGGTGAGATCGTAAATCCCGGTTATCATGATCAATATCCCAACAATATGGAATGCGTCAACATTATAGTGGGTTAGATTTTTTTTTCCTTTTAAAGATAATGATAAAAAAAAATATATGAAATAAAAGAAATAAATAAGATACTATTATAATTAAAATTGGAGATTGAAATCTAGATCAATATAAATATGACGCCTTGCATTTCTAATTTTTTTTAAGAATGGTTCCATTTCCGGTTCCCAAATTTGACACGGTTCTTAAAAATCCAGGTATATGTTACAAACAAATCGATCAAAATTTTATAAAAAAAAGAAATAATTAAGCAATAAATAAACCTTCTAAAATGGATAAAACAACACTAAAAATAATATAACCGTGGTGGCTAAAAAAGAACGTCTCGATTTATAATCTTTATACCTCTAAAACGCGTCATTCGTTTTCTAAAACCGGTTCTATAACTGACATAGTTAACGGATTTTATAACCGGTTAGATAACCGGTTTCTCATAAATTTTAAACTCAGTTCCGATACCTAAAAATTTTAAAAAAGGGTTCCAGATTATTTATGTATTTGGTTCAAAATTCTGATTTAAAATAGTTTTTTTTATTATATATATATATATAAATATCTGTAAAATAAAAAAATAGCTCCGAAAAATTATGTAATATCCTTATCCTTCGATGTCAAAACTTTCGAGATAGAGCCTTCCTCGAACTGTCAATTTGATTTTCTGGAAATGAGGGACGGTCCTTTTGGTTGGTCTCCATTGATAGGTAAATTTTGCGGATTAAAGCATCCAAACTTGTTTCAATGGAAATCGATGGGTCGATATGTGTGGATGTATTTTAAAACTGATAAGGAATTGAGATACAAAGGATTTCGGCTTCTCTACAAGTTCGTCATCGCTAGAGACACTCATAAAAAATTGAATATCTCCAGGCAAGATAATTACGTTCAAAGTAAGGTATAATGAAAAGATTTTTTATATATTTTAATATGTAAATTGAAAGGTGTGGGACTTGGAACGTTTAAAAATGGTTTGGGAATAAATCAAAAATGTCAAATATTATAGAAAAAAAATAGGAATGTAACTGGCGGAGGTTCTGGAACTTGTATTAGAACTTTCAGAAATCTCTAGAGACAAAACATTCTGGAATATTGGAACTTTTTAAAAATATGAAGGGAGAGTGTGCTGATTTGTTTTTTCTAACTTAAAATAATTGGAAAGCATAACCAGAGAATTACCAAAAAATAAACGGGTTCTTAAAAGCCATATTTTTCAACTTATTTATATTAAGACGTTAAAATGCGTATCTAAAGCTTGTCTGTCGTAATTGGGATATAAAATCTTTCGGTACTCGAAACTGTATATATATATATATTCGAGCATGTATAGAGTAATAACCCACACTATGAAATTTCATAACAATTGTTTTTGCCAAGAATTCTTTTGAACGGCTCTTAATTTATTATTTACGTATTTATGTATATAAAATATTATTCAAAGGTTAAGGTTTGAAATTATCCGAATTTAGTGTTTTATTATAAAGATTTGGTTCGATGTTTAAAAAACAGTCTCATTTAAGATTTTAGCCAAAATAATATTATGCAGGCCTGGAAATTTTTGCTCAAATATAGTAGCTAGAAAATGTTTTGGACCACTCTCTTTATAGTAAAATATCGAGGATTACATAATAATATTTTGGCTCAAAATCTTAATCGGGCTGTTTACCAACACTATCTGAAATTCACAGGGTTAGGATGTACTCTACAATCCTTACTGAAATTACATTTGTCAAGTCAGATGATTTTTTTTTTTTTAAATAAAAAATATTGGACTAAGTAAAGTGATTTAATATTAAAAGATTTAGAATTCTTCCATGGATATTTCATGTCCCAAAGCGACATATATAATTAATGTTTAATTCAATTTAATAAATAAATATATTTTTGAAAAAAAAAATCATATTATATAAATTTGCTTGATAAATCGTGTCGCATAATAATAAAACAAAACTTTTTAAGATTTTCAAATTTTCAAGTTTTCAGTTTTTTTTAAAATATAAAATCTATATCTTTTTTTGACTTCGAAAGAAACCTATAATTTATATAGTAATAATATATGCATTAATTATTTGCAAGATGTATATCGGTTTGGCTTCAATAAAATGAAAAATAAATTGCCACATTTTTTGAAATCTTTGCCGAAACTCACGCGTTACCCCTCATTCATGGTTGGCGCGAATTCGCGGCGAATTATTCAAAATACTCTGTATTTTTGTATTCTCCACCACGAATACCCGCTAACCGCGAATGACTCGAGTTTCAAAAAAAAAATATTTTTCAAAGCAGGGTAGGATTTCTATTGGATTAAACTTATAGCTGAGTTTTCAATTTTTTGAAAATATTTCCCATAATTATATATTATAGCGCAAAAATTATATTAAAAATATCTTTATTATTAAATTACTACCTTATATTATAAAGTTATTCAAAATACATGGTAATAAAGGGAATGTATGTTGTATCGGCCTTCCATTTATCTTTTATAACAGCTTAAAATCTCCTCTTCTACTGATCAAAATCTAACTTGGATTTTTTTTGTTGAGAAATATATGAGAGTAACACCATCGATTTTTTTTTCTAAGTTTATCTAAAAAATCTAAAAGATCGAAGAAGCCAGCCTCCTACATGATAAATCCAAATGGGTCTTGATCAGGGGAATTAAGCAGTTTGATGGGCAAATTTTATAAATCTAAACTCGTTGAACTTCATTATATATTTTACATTTGTCTTAGAGAATTCACAAATCAGACTTAGTGCTTATCTATAAAAGATCCTTAAGGAGTTACATCGGATAATTTAAAATATAAAATCAAGAATTCAATAAAATGTGGCAAAATTTTGACTTAGGGAAATTTTTTTTGGCAAAAATAAATTATCTTTCTTAAAATTTTTAAATTTAAAGATTATCTTAAAGTTTAGAAAATTTAATAGCCTTAGTCATTAAAAAAAACAACTTTATTTTAAAGGATTTGTAATGTATTTTATTGTATTTTGCCTTAATGTCCATATCTTTTTTTTATCAGTATTCTGAATGAATATTGAGAAAAAAATTTATCTATTTATTATGGATGAGAATAAGATTTAAATAAGCAAGCTTTGATCCTCTTTCTTTATAAGATAGAGTGTTGTGCAGATTTAATTCAAACATTCCCATATTTATTTTAATTCATTTATAAATTATAATTTATTTATCTTGTGAAAAAATTGATAAGAATATATATATATGTTATTATAACAATATTTTTTTTTGATTCTAATTTAGCAGATAAAAATATATATTTTCTAAAAGTGTAAAACAAAGATTAATTTTTATAAAAAAATATGTTTGCGACCAAAAGGATCTTCTAAATTTGGCCCTAAAACACTGCAATAAAATTTATAGGGCCAAAAAAGGCATCCTCACTCTTCCTACTACAAAGTTACAAGGAAAATTACGGGTATCAGCGTCTACATGACAGTATATTTACTGGATGCAAACCCCCCTCAAAAATATATCTACCCCCTTATATACCAAAATATTATCCATAGAATTTAAAAATGTAATTGAAAATTTTCTAGATTATTATAGCCTACCCCCCAAAATGCCTACCCCCTACCACCTACCCCCTCAAATAGATATTAGATACCAAAAATTAGGCAAATATACAAATTAACTCATTTATTATTTTCTTCATTTGTTTTTAGATTTAACTATCGCATAAAGTGTTGTTAAAATGTGACGATTTTTAAAGGCAGCTAACTTAGTTTTTATCCAGTAAAGATTTTGCTTGGAGATCTCTCAGTGAAATCTCGAATCTTAGTAAATATCTTTCTGGATAAATATTCAGTGATCCGTTTATAAAAATCGGTTCAAACGGTGTCACAAGACTTCTTACTTACTTCTGATTTAGCATTAGATATTTAGCCCCTGATTCTAATTTTTATTTGAATTTTATTAAACATAAAGATATATATATATATATATCTTTATACTATAAACGTACCAAATAGATAAAAAAAACATGATCATTGTGAATACTAGATCAAAACCTATTTTATTCCTATCAAAATAAAATATATATACGTGGAAATATATTTAAAAAAAATATCTATATACTTCATTTTAAACAAATAAAAAGATCTTTATAATAAAAATATCTAAAACTCCCTATCGTTTATTTTATTATGGTTTGGCCCCTGAGATCCCTGAGGTCCCTGAAATGTCTGATTTTTCAATTAATAAATATTCTAATATATATTATTTAGCTAATAAATTAATGTCAAAATGGTTTTTTTTTATTACCAGTAATGATATGATATATGATTTATTTTTGTTTTAAAAAAAACGAATTAATTCTGATTTGTAAAATTTTTTTTCTCCCTTCTTTTAATATTGATTTTTAACTATCATACTTATCAGTAATAAAATGACCTACGAACGAGAATTTATGTATTAGATATAACATGGTCCTGAATAAATTACAAACCAAACACAAGCATATTTTTTTGGATAGAAAAATTGAAATGAAATGAAAAACGTTTTAAAATTTTATAATAAATTTTTTAAAAGCATCAAAATATTTTATTTTATCCCCTGTTGAATTCTAATTTTTCTGTTAGATATTCTCAAATGAATTATTCATTTATTTTCATTTTATTTTTTTAAAAAAATCATATAAATTATAAACGGTATAATATAAAATTAGTTCATCATCTCATTTAAAAAAAAAAATAACCAAATAACTAAAAACTATTCTATATTATAATTTTTTTTATTTATAAACCTTGAGTTTTGAAAACGAAATAATTTTTTGAAAGAAAGAAAGAAAAGAAAAGAAAAGAAAAGAAAAGAAAAGAAAAGAAAAGAAAAGAAAAGAAAAGAAAAGAAAAGAAAAGAAAAGAAAAGAAAAGAAAAGAAAAGAAAAGAAAAGAAAAGAAAAGAAAAGAAAAGAAAAGAAAAGAAAAGAAAAGAAAAGAAAAGAAAAGAAAAGAAAAGAAAAGAAAAGAAAAGAAAAGAAAAGAAAAGAAAAGAAAAGAAAAGAAAAGAAAAGAAAAGAAAAGAAAAGAAAAGAAAAGAAAAGAAAAGAAAAGAAAAGAAAAGAAAAGAAAAGAAAAGAAAAGAAAAGAAAAGAAAAGAAAGAATGAAAGAAAGAGAAAAGAAAAGAAAGAAAGAAAGAAAGAAAGAAATCTAAACAAAAAAATCGAAGCAAAAAAAACGAAAAATATATTTTTTTAAATTTATTAGCCAAATTTAGTTAAGTTGCTTCTCCAAACAAGATAAATAACTATTTAAATAATTTATGACTACTAAAATCATGATTGTCCTGGTTCGACTTATTTCTAAGCAGCCCTCAATTTAGCCGGCTTAATATCTTCAAACTTAACAGCCTAGTCCTATCTAAGAGACTGTTTAATTTAATTATACCACTCAGTCAATTTTATAAATAAAGATAGTACAGTTCATATATAGTAAAGAAAGCACATAATTCTAGCAATGGAAAAAAACAAAAAAAACAATGCCATCAAAAATTAAAAACAAACTAAGATAGGGTGTCCTAATTCAAAAGATGTTTAGCCTAGGCTGAACAGCAATAAACATAGTTAAAAAAGAGTCGAACAGGAACACAGCCTCAGTGTTTCGCTGATAAGGAAGGTATACAAATAAAATGAGAATATAGTTTCCCATTTCTTAGATATATATTTTTCTAGAGGGTCGCGGCATTGTATGTCAAATATTTCTATCTTTTTTACGAAATTCCGTTATGTTATAATTTCCTAGAATACTATAACAAAGATTTTATTTTCTAACAAGAGCTATAAAATTTAACATAATAATTCTTATATAGGTTTTTTTTAAAAAAAACTTGTCAAGATAAATTAAATAATTTCTATATGTATTTTAGAGATCTATAAATGTATAGGCCCGACCCCTGATAAAAAATTTTATTTGGGCTGGACTAGGCAAAAAAAAATATTAACAAGCCTGGCCGTGAGGACAAAGTTTAGAAAAATGCCGGGCGGGCTTAATATCTAAAGTTTGCTAATTATTTTAATGATTAAATTACCTGCTACTCTGATTATTTTCTACATTTTGTTTTTTATTGATATAGTTATAAGAAAATCATGAAATCAAAATCCTCATCATTACTGGTTATTTTTTTTTTCCATAGTATACATTTCTGGATTTTAAAAAGCCGGACCGGGCCAGACACTCTTAGTATAAAATTGAAACCGGTTGAACGGGCCGGGCTGGAAAAAAACTAAATACTAACAGGACCGGATCGGGCCTAAAAATTTTGCCCTGTTAAACTTCTAATGCATGTACGCAATGTCTATATCTATCGAATTTAATGACTTATATAATTTATATTAGAATTTTTCAAATTAGGAAAAGAAGCACGAAACTTCCCACTTCAAACTAAACGAAGGTGTGTAAGAATAATAATAATTTCATTTTATTTTATTTAATAAAAATCCTGATTTTACCAGAATTGTCTTTCATCATGTTTTATTATAAGAGTTTCTGGCAATTATGCCACGTTGAACTTAATATAATTTACATCAATTTTTTCCATAGATTTTTTTTTTAACTTTAATTATATATGACTCAAAGGTTAACAGCAAAATTGCATACAATTGATAAAAATAGAGACTAAATTATAGGAAATAGCCAAATTTCGAAAAATTTTGCATTGCAATCGGACCAAAATATTTCCAAAATGCCGACCTAACCGGGCTTGAAAGTAAAAACATTTAGACGGGCCGGATTTGGAAATGAATTATATTTTTCAAATCCCGGGTCGGACCGAATCTAAAATTTTTACCTCTTGTTAGTTCTCTTATAGAAAAATCAGTAAACATTTCCGGAAACATAATTGAAAATATTTTAATCCATCCTCAATGATATATATATATATTACTAGATTGGTGATTCATTAAAAGTTTATATATGTATATAGGAGTCAGCTGTAGGGCAATTTTGAATTATCATTATATCAATGCATATTGATGTTATTTAATCGACCTGTGACAAATCCCAAAATAGCTCTACAAGCTGACTCCTTATGTATGAACAACTTTTAAATGCATTTATTCGCCAATTTAAAGTATATATATATATCAATGACATATATAATATCCTAGACTGACGATTCATTCATTAAAATGCATTTTTAAGCTTCGTTAAAAGCAAATCAGCTGGACCCGCCATTTTGGTAACACATATAGTAATTATTCTCTTGTTAAAAACTACTATTAAATTGATAACTTTCTTCCTTATTATCTCGATGGTAATTCTTTAATAAAATTTGCATCAGATATAGGAATAAATTAAGCTCCCGTTTAAAATTTTAATAATGATTAGTGTAACCAAGATGGCGTCTCCAGCGATTTGCATTGATGTATACACTTTTAATGAATGAATTGTCAGTCTAGGTATTATATATGTCATTGATATATATATATAACACTGTAAACTTGGATTCTAAAAAATATCTGCTTAATAGTATATTAATTAATAAATCGTTATAAAAACATTTGGACATGAAATGAATTATAAATATAGTAAACAACGAAATAAAAATGATGGAAAAATGTGTATATTAATAAAAATAAAAATGGAGGTCGCTTTTATCGAAATATCTAGTTTTATAGGTGAAGAAAAAGATTTCTTACCCTTGCATTCACAGTTAGCGGAAATCGGCGACTAATTACACAAAATCTATTGGAATAATTTTGTATTAATTTTTTGCTATACTTAGCCACGAATTCGCGTTATCTGTGAATCAGAGTTATATTGGTCAAGAAAAATAATTCTTATGCATCAAAGTTAAAACTATTTTACCGTCTCAGTATAAATTATTTTTAATAAAAAAATTCTTCTCAAAATATTAATAAACAAATTAGCGATGGAATGTATAAAAATACTCCCAGCTAAGAAGTACGACCATATCAAGATATCCGACATATCCACCAACTCGAAAACGCTATCCAAGTTGTTAGACATAGCGATTGATTGCGTATGGATAATCGAGTATCCCCCGCTATCAAACGTATGTATTTATTATTATAGCACCAGTCAGAACCTTACATTAGCAATGGCAGCTCTTATTTCAAAAAAAAAGATAAGATTTTAAAGAAGGTCTTCTAATCATGGCAAAGGTTCCTATTATGCTCCTGATGCATAACTTTTTAAAACATGAGCTTTCTTTCTTTCTTTCTTTCTTTCTTTCTTTCTCTTCTCTTCTCTTCTCTTCTCTTCTCTTCTCTCTTTCTTTCTTTCTTTCTTTCTTTCTTTCTTTCTTTCTTTCTTTCTTTCTTTCTTTCTTTCTTTCTTTCTTTCTTTCTTTCTAGATATAATGAAGTTTTTTATTGAAGTTCGCATGATAGAAATTTTTGATTAATAAAAGGAAAAAGAGAGAGAGCGAAAGAATAAAACATTGTAAACTGGAATAAGAATTATATTTATTTATTTCAAATAAATAGATTCAAAAAATTTTATTCGCTCATTATTTGTAATAATTTATCATTTCTTGAGTCGCCCTTCCTTGGTAGGTAGTTTGACTCAATCATGTCCGGGCTAAATAAAAATTCCATCTGAACATTAAAAGGTGCCCACCCTTTAAATATCTGTTATTTTAATTTTTGAATATGCTAATCGTCCAGTTTTTTAGGTATATTTATTTTTAAATATCATTGCTAGTTGTTTAGTGAGACCATAGGCGGTTTCTTGATTGCAATTATTCGTGTCATTTGATGGGTATAAGAAACCTAACATGATATTTTAAAGATTGTATCATTAAAATTTTTAAAAAAAGTAATTTAACATAAATAGGTTTTTCTCAGACTGCCTCATAAAAATTTATTAGGAAGCTTGGACTGTCGTATCGCCGCCTTAGAACTATATTCCGCAGCTTCCTCTCTAAATAATCGTTTCGTAAAAATATGTCAAGCTCAAGATCCACATTTAAAATCATCCACTTATAATACCGATTTTGCCCATGATACCTACGACAATAATAAGGATAATACATCTTGGTTCAATAAAAATGATGAAGATTCTTGGGTTTCTTGCAGTAAATTTTTAACCAAGAGGAGGCCTGTTAAATTATTTGTGAGATTGCAAATCAGTTCCTACCCTTCATTTTTAACCCTATTGCGGGCGAAAGGGTCTAATACCTCCAACAAATTTAGGAGCAATTCCTTAGAGTGTGTCGAGGCAACTGCCAATGGTAGAAAATCTTCTAGCAAAACATGTGAAAATACCGATTATAACAATATCGAGGATACTATAACTTTATTCGAATATACTCTCTTTACAACGAACGGTAAACTTATTACATATAAAAAAACTGAAAAACATTTTTGAAAAAATTTTCTAAGTGCTGACGACTTCCTTTGCAATGAACTGTGACTGATAGTCTATTTATTTTTAACAATTTTATAGTTATTTAAATTAAAAATAAATAATAAAAAGTATATTAATTTTGATAAAAATTTAATTTTAATTCAAAGTTTTAAATATAAATTATGTGTTTTTTTTACAAGTTAAATGTAGAGTCGATTCTCAGTTCGATTGTGGTAACAACACTTGCGTTGACAAAACTTTTATATGCGATGGCGTTGTTAATTGCCCAAATTTTAGCGACGAACATAATTGCCATGGTAAGTTCGATAAGGTAATAATACATTTATATTAGTTGCATTTAATTTCTTAAAACATTTTATAATTTGTAGATATCTAATATATTATTATTAGTATATTATCATATCTAATTTTATAGCATACAAAAAATAAAATATTAGTATATAATATATAATAGCTATAGGCATCATAACCAGAATATTAATAAAGAGGAATAAGGGTGTTGCCAAAATATTTTTGGGGGCCTCGTCTCAAAACACCAAATTTCGACCTTAGACTCTGATTGGGCATTTTTTAATTTTTTTCTAAAAATTTTTTTTTAATTTTAAAATATATAACATCTTTATATCGCCTCTGTTAAAGTTTGCTGAACAATTGGAAGTATACTATTCAAAATTCTATTTCAATGGTTCCATGCTTTATTAGTGACTATGAGTTAACAAAAAAACTATTTTTCCAGCCTTAGAAAAAGAATGAATACAATTTTTCAGACAATTTTATCAACATTTGGTGCTTAATTTGTAGGAGGATTGTTAAAAAAGCCTGATTCTGGTCAATTTTTGATACAACCCGATTAAGATTATACCCAAAAGAATATTATGTAAGCCTGGAAGATGACAGGCAGAAAGGTTTGGACTTCTATTTGCCAGATATCGAGGCTTTCACAATATTATATTGGCTAAAATCTTACCCCTTCATTCTTAGTTAGTGCGATTTCGCAACGGATAATACAAAATACGCTGTATTAGTGCCTTCCCCACCCCGAATTTGCGCTAACTGTAAATGAGGGGTTAATCGGATGAATTTTTTTAAAATCCGTTTGGAAGACAGTAAAAAAAAAGAATATCAAAATAAGAAAATGTCGGAGTTAGCATCCTTGTCAGAATAAAAAAATATATATAGAAGAAACTAAATATATGGTTATTTTGCCACTGATATTTCGGTGCTTGACTAGTATATTTATTAATTTCCAAATTTATTCATAGTTACAAACCACATAAAACAAAAGCGAGTTATATATAAAATGAGAATCCTGAGCAAAGCTTTAGGAAAACACGAATTCTGAAGTTATATACCATTAAATAGTGTTTAATTTAGTACATTTTTAATCTGTTTGGTATATTGGATTTAAAAGGGAAATAAAGTTATTGATAAAATAAGAAGAAGAAAAAGTTTATAAAAATGGATTAAAGTGTAAAGTTTAAAAAAAATAACTATGAACCAAACTTTTTAAATAATTTATTTAGCACGTATTTTTAAATTTTAATATATTTTTTCTGGAAGAGTATTCTTATAGGTGTAAAATGCCTATCTAAAATATTTGTATAATTTTGCAAGTTATTTACACATCTTAATTAAGGATACGCGTAAGATTATTCGATTTGAATGTGACATATACAAATTTAAGCATTTTAGGCAACATCTTTCATACAGATATATATAACTCACGTAAAACTGGCAACTAGTGTGTAATCTGCTAATTTTAGGCAAATTTTTATATAAAAAAATGGCTAAACTTGGCTCTTCAGCGTTACTTAATAAATATAGCTAAAATAATTATATATAAATAATTTTAATAATAAATAAATACTAATTAAGGCTAGCTTTATCTTGAGTAACGCTGAAGGACATTTAACAACGCTCCTTAGCCTATGCCTAATTTTTTTATTAATTAATTTTGGCAGATTTTTTGGATAAGCCTGATTCCAATTTTACGCTAATCCTAATAAGGCTTATGGCGAGAGTTGATAAGGCAACACTGCTCGCTACCATTAGTACTGCTATTTTAAAGTGTTAAGTATATAAAGATTATCAATTAAATTATTATCGACCAAGAATCCTTAACTAAATAAAGAATCGTAGCTGCTATAAATTTATAATTTATAATTATTATTGTTAAAGGACGCTCGTAACATTAAATAGCCCCCTACTATTAAATAAATTGGGTTTAAACAAAAAGAATCTACACATTATAGTCTAAGGCTATTTACAGACTGATTTGTTATGTAACAATAGTTCTTTTTTAAAAAAATAATATGCTTTAGCTAAAAGATTTACAAGTAGAGATCTCGGAAATTTTTCTAACTTTTTGGGAACCTGGTTTGGAGATAAATTGAACGCCTCGATTGTTTTACTGATTCTGGCATCTTCGGTGATTATTCTAGGAGGAGCTTACGTAGCTTACAAATTGTCCGAATGTCAGCCATTAACCTTCGGAAACGGAAAATTGTGGAATTTATATTATGCTAAAAGGGGCAACTTAAGCACTAAAAGTAATAGCGGATTGAGTGAACATACCACTTATTCGTTCAATGACTTAACGCCCAAAGTTGAAAGAGGTTTGATTAATTATTATTTGTGTTAGACTCTAATCTAGAGTTCATCTTTATATATTCTTGAGATTATTAAACAGGACAGCAACAAAGCTTCCATGTTTTGGGAGGAAGGAAGGAAGGAAGGAAGGAAGGAAGGAAGGAAGGAAGGAAGGAAGGAAGGAAGGAAGGAAGGAAGGAAGGAAGGAAGGAAGGAAGGAAGGAAGGAAGGAAGGAAGGAAGGAAGGAAGGAAGGAATCATAATTGGTAAAGAAGTTATTTCTTAAAACGTTGGATTTATTTAACAAATTAACAATATTTTATTTTAAGTTAACCTCGATATCGACTCCATGACTGCTGAACCAAATAATTTTTTAGAGAGCGCGTCTCTAGCAAGCTTCGATTTTAAAAAATTGAACGGGGGGCATAACATAAATGTTAAGTACCAAGATAATATTCGCGTTATTTACGGAGAAAATTTATCGCAGAACAACGACAGAAAAATGATTGGTCAGGTCGAAGAAACGAATAGGCTCTATTACGTTAAGGAGGCCACTAAAATCAAGCCTTTCCAACATAAAAGGTTTCATAGAAACGTAAATTATTTTGTTCAAATAAATCGATCTAGTGGTTTAAAGTATCACAATCAATTTGTATTTTGATATTTGACCCGTTTTCCACCGACCGCTGCCTATATCAAATTTTTAATATTGTTTCTTTCTTCATAAATTCTTAATATTTCGTTTCTAATTAATAAAAGAAAAAACTATAAATTTTTGAATTAGCTATCATATAGTATACGAAAAATAAATGAATGCTACTATTTGGTAACTGCGGGTAAATATTTCAAAAAATCTTCTTTTTTTAAAATAATCCTCACAAAATAGGAATTTATATGATTAGCAAGCAATATAAATAAAATATTTTAGATAATGAATGTTTCAATTGCTAAAATTTTTGCCATTCATAAAAAGGGAAATATATATAAGTAACACATATGTATAGATAAATATTATTTAAATTTTCATAAATGTTTTGATATAGACTCTGGTAAATTCATCATGTGCATATAATGGAAAATTCCTTTCACTTATTAGAGTGGTACTACCAAGGGTGTAAACAAATGATTTTTTAAAATGAAAATCACTGATAAACCATTATTTATATTTCAACTAGGCATAATAGTTATACTTGATATAAAAAAACCATTGTTTAGTCTAGGTAATCGATAAAAATTTTGTAAATATATTTTCTGATTAAGTTCAAAAAATTATAATTTATTAATAAAGTAAGTTGCAATTATATTCAGATACTTTCGAAATGTAGCTTAGTTACTCTAAAAGAATGTAATTTGTTATTGTAAATAGTCATTTTTTTAAGTTAGATCTTAGGGCATAAATATTGTCAAATTCTCAAGCCGATTAGAATAAATTAGAGTGTCAAGATAAAAACACCCCTCCCCCCTCCCGATGAATATTTTTACCGTGCTTAGGCTTCCGTCAGAAAAAAACATTCCATAAGGATTTTATAATTTGAAATGTTTTATTTTTCATTATATTTTCTTATTCTTTACAAGAATGACACCTGAAGGTAATACACAAATTCTCCAAAATGATTCTCAGCGGGGATCCAAAGATTTAAATCTGAACGTGATTCCTATTTATATGACCGGCACGACCAGATCCAATCATGACTTTGCTAGAAAGGACGCGAAAAACATTTGGCATTATCATAATACCGACGCTAATCAGAGTCTAAATAATGATCGAATGGGAAATAGAAATATTTTAATGAACTTGAAATCAATTTTATTATGAACAAATTTTTTTTTTTTTGTAAATAAAAAAAATGAATATTTTATTATTTGCTGATAATTTGATTGATTAAATAAAATTTGTTATATATCATGGATACCAACTATAAAAATTTCTATTGTAACGTATGTTAGATATAAGTTTATAGATATATTATACCATTGAAAAATATGCTGAGATAATTTTTAATGAATAATTTTTCTTGCATGGCTGAAACAAACCCCCGTACACATCTCAGAAATTCAACCGGGGTACCATAAAAATTATATTGTTATTTTTTAAATAATCTTTTTATTAGTGCTGCTAATGTAAATACCTATCTAAAACTAGTTACCTATGTCCACCTACAGGAAATGGAACTCAAACTAATTATATATATATATGTCAAAGAACTGCAGGCACAGCTCTAAGTCCGGCCTAGACTGGGTACACGAGTCGGGCCGTATTTTAATTTTTTTTAATATACTCAGGCTGGGCTTAAAATATTTTTTTAAATAAATATTCAGGCAAGGCCATATATTTTAAAACCAAATATTTGAAATCGCCATTATTAGCTATAAAAATAAATATAATATATTTTAAAAATATCTGGGCCGAGCCGTGCAAATTGTATCTCTGCAGGTCCCTGGTATATGTTTTAAATTTAACTTGTAACACATCTTAATTATTACTAAAAATTGTAAGATTTTTTATTTCAAGTTGCTTGAATTCTCCCTTTTTCGAAAAATGTAACAATTAAATGGAACCAGTTATTTTTTAGTGATACAAAAATAACTGTAAAGTAACTTTAACAACGCTAATTTTTGTATGCTTTTTATTTTTAAATAAATATATTTTATTTCAAGCCAAGCTATTTTAATTATTGTAATCTGACTGAATGCCATCTGGAAATGAAATACTGAGATTCTTAATTCATATAATAAAAGCTTCACTCAACTGCTCAAGTCTAGATACATTTCACAAGATATACTGAAAATACATTCCTGTATTGACCCCTTGGCCCCATCCAACCACGCCATCAACATCCTTGACCAGAAGGAACAACTTAAAATTTCTAAATACACAGAAATAATAAACGATCATTGCTTCATCCCAATCATATCAACCACTCTTGGCACCTTCGGCAAACTCGCCTTAGCATTTTTCAAAAACTTAAGATCACAAATCAGCAAACTCTCAGAAGAACCACGAGAGGGTTTTTTTCTTCGTCAACGATTATCCATAGCGATTCACAAAGCTAATTATATCAGTTTCAATGGTAGCCTTCTAGCCAAAGAGCTATCATAGACAACGCTTACGTCCCTTTTTCATTTTTGTTTCCCTGCGTCACAACATCTCCGTTCTTTTTTTTAATAGTATTATTATATATTTTTCAAACATTTTAAATATATTAAAATTTTTTATAATGAAAATTTAAATTATTATGTATAAATATGTGTTTCTCTTTTTAGAAAAATCTGAAGTATCAATTACATTAATGTTATATAAGTAAGTTATTAATATTTAATTTCTCGTATTGTATATTAAAATTTATTATAATTTAAAATAATATAATAATTTATAACCACCTTCCAAATTTTATATATTCTAAACATAATCATAGAACATTTTATTTCTACTTAAATTTTGTTAACATTTATTAATCTCGTATTTTATATTTTTCTTATTTAATTTACAGCTAATTAATTCAAATTCAATATGGTGAAAACATGGGATTACTAATGTCAAAGTGATACTTACATGGTAATTGGTATGGATTATGATTATTGATCGATGCTAATAAATAAGGAAGATATTTGTAAAATGGAAGGTGATAGAGGAACCTGCCTAATTTAGACTTTTGGAAAATTTATGCTGAAAAGGAACTGTAATTATATTTATGATTGGACTATGGGCTTTCAGTCATACCATAGGCGCCCGATGTGGAACATCAAAGATGATTGAGATGCCAGTTATTAAGATTAGAATCGATGTTGTCCATCGAAGATACTCGGGGGAATTTGCCCTTCAGAATAAAGTTAAAAGGGATTAGTTTATCGATGAGGTCCATCGACAAGGACAAGTGATGATGACTATTCAGTTAATGATAATAAGCAGGAATAGTGGGATCTAGGGTGAATTGTCGAAGGTGGGTGGTTGGCTATAGTGACCTCATGGTATTTCAAGAGATAACGGATTGTTCAAGGACCGTTTAACGCTGAACACCTTGTGAACTGCCAAATGTTTGATAACAAATATGGGTGCAGAATTGATCATGGTGACCTCAATGGCGTCTAAGCGATAACGGGATCCTCGAGGGGCGTTCAAAGTTAAACGAACCATCCAAGGGTTACGATTATACAAGGATATTTTTGGGGAAGAGATATAACGATTAGCTACCTATCACGGTGATATACTCTAATCATGAATCGGATCATTGGTTTTTGAAGGTAGAATAAAGTTCTAGAGCGAATGCTGGTGTTATGGATTTTATTTGATAATTATGATTGTGTATGGATTTTATATATGATTATTATTTGTTTCCAATAAAAGAATTACATGATGTAAGATTTATATGTACTCTAGGTATTTTTATATTTTATTGCCATATATTCGCGCCTGTCCTACTACTTGATAATACAAACTCTTAATATCTAGTTTCTTCGCGTACATCATATTTTAGCAATGAAATTATTTTATATATCCAGTCATTTTTGTCAAATATTATGATGATATTATTATCAAAAACTATTAAATAACAAATATCATACATAGTGAATTGATGTGATATGATGATGAAAATAAAATACAACATAGCTTAATGTAACTTCCTTTTTCTTTAAAAACATCATATCTTTTTTTAAGAAATATTTTCAAAATCCTTGTGATATTTTTAAATTACATTCTTTAAAAAAAAGCCTCTTTAAGTTTTTTAGGGGATCATGTAGTTTTTGAAGGTAGAGTATAGTTCTAGAATGAATGCTGGTGTTATGGATTTTATATATCTTTTAATTTATACCGAAATAAAGCGAAAGATATCTAAAATCCAGAGACGTAGATAGCTTGGTACGCTAAATACCTCCATCATTATAATTAAACTAATTTTGAAAAATGAAGTACTATATTTTTTTAAATTAAAACCCACTTTTTAAATAATTAGCACCCTTTTATACAAATACATTCATATTTTATTTGAATAGCCCTTTTACGAAATTGTAGGGCCTATTTCAAATAAATATTATTGTCTTTGTGGCATTTATTATAATTTTCCTTCTTTTTGTCTTAAACAAAAATAAAGTTGTGGAAAATCGAAATGTATTATTAAATCAAATCATAAAATTAAATCTACATTCTTTGGTAGATTCGTATTTATACATTATAATAATTTAATTTAATAACAAATGACAATAAAATTAGGTATAAATGGCGTAGATTTGTATATTTTATATTAAATTTTTTAACACATATGACAAGCTTATGTCACGCTGAATATCAATTATGATGTCAAGCATTTTTTATACAATGATGGAGATAATATTTTGGAGTTTTTTTTTTATTTTCACATTTAAATATTACTTTATTTCAGATTTAAAAAAAGGGAATCAAAACCCCATCATTATTCCACAGAATATATTAATTGACATAATATTTATTCGACTTGAAAATTTATAAGATTCTATATGATATTATATAAAATTAATCATAACATCTGCGAATTTGATCGTAATTTGATATTAGATAAAATAATATATAATGTATAAATACGAATGACACATTAAGATAAACTAAAATTATATTATATAAATAAAAAAAATAATATATTTATATATTCTATTAATTGAAGTTGATATTTATTTTCTTAGGATTTAAACAAGTTAAGAAATTAAATTACTAGATATATTTAATAATAAAGTAATATAAAAATAATTATATTTAAGTTTTTTTTGGTCATTGGGTTAAAGCATTTGAGATGAATTCTAATATTATTATTATTATATAATAAATTATAGTATAATAGATAAAAAAGATGAAGACCCGAGATAGAGTGGTTTAGGACGCGTGGACCCTCATAAATTTTGTAAAAATAGAGTTTACACTTTTTAGCGTCCCCTTTGTAAAACCCCTGTTAAAATCCATTTGAAATCATATTTTATTTATTAAATTATTGTTTGGAGAAGATTGATTGGTTTGTTTGAATGTAGGATCGCTAAATGATTGGATTTCGAATGTGCTTAGATTTAGATTTCATTTTATCTTTAGTGTAACTTTTAATAAAATAAAGTGTTAAATAAATTTATAATAAATCACATATACATATATGTGGTGTAGTATTTATATTATAAAATTAAATATTTGTTTTAAATACATTCAATCATAAATGATTGATGGAAAATTTCTTAAGCTGCACTAATAGCATATCGAATGTCGTCGATATTTTTAAATCAGAGAAAATCCCCTCCCAGTCCCAATTCAGCTACCATACAAAAAGTATAAATAAATAATTTGATTAACAGAATTTATTTTATATAAATAGTTATTGGATGAAAACACTCAATTGATTATGTGTATAGCGGAAAATCAAAATAAAGGAAATGCTGCAGAATGTATTTCGTAATTTAAACATTTTAAAATATAATTTAATAGTCATTTATAGTTACCAACAAGTCCTTCATAAAAATTTGGTGTATTTAGCCACAATGGCAGATTACAATCAACAAAATGTAATGAATCATTATTAGCAAAATATTTTTATTTTACAAATATAGCCCACACCTGGTCAACCCAATACAAATGAGCCAATAAATTATGAAGGTGCCTCACAAAATCATCAAAATAAAAGTTTTAATGCAATTTATTATTTTTTTGTGCTGAATCTACAATGAAATTTTAGCACATCACTAAATTAATATTTTATATTTAGTTATTTATTTCACATAAATTAATAGTTCCACCAAATTCATTCCAATCACAAAATGAACAAATCACTTACTCTAACAAACAAAATTATAATCCATTGATAGATACCTCATACCAAAGACCTTTTATGACTCCTAATAGTCAATATAGTTCTCTACAGAATCCTGATATCAGTAATTTTTATTTTTTAATTTCAAAGACATGTATAAACATTTGTATTTACCTCAAGCTTATTATACAATAATTTAAATTTATACTTGTCATAATATATAAGTATATTTTAATGAGCTTAAATTAGATTTTTATTGATGATAAATATAAATCATTTATAAAGTTATGGAAAAAATTTCATTAAAATGCTAAAGGGTTATCAAGCTGATATTTCTAAGTTTTTTTATTTAATGAAAAACTATTTTTATGTAATTGCTGTTTTTTAATTTAATTTTATAAATTTATCTAGATAATTAATTATTTGCAAAGTTTTATAATATAAATAGGCACTATATTATTAGATTTAATTTAATGTTTTGTCAAATATTTAAACTTTTATATCAGGGGTAAAGATATTTAGTATTCAATTTAATGTATGTATCCACATCTGATTTAATATTTAATGTTGTTAAATGGCTAGATTTTGGCCGATTTTTAAAAACAGCTAACCTCATAGCAAGGAAAATATTGCCTAAGAATCGAGATTTTGCCAATAGATGTTCAACCCTATGTGCCATCTATGAGCAAAATCTTTAGGCTTACTTTATATTTTTCTGAATAAAATATTGAGTTAGCAAGGCATGGGCAATATTTTTCTGGCTAAAATATGGAGTTAGCCGCTTTTAAAAATTGGCTCAAATCAAGCCGTTTAACAACACTAGAATATTCCAACCCTCACAAACACTGACTAAATCTTCTTTTAAAGACTGGACCTCCATCTGAATAAAGGGGTAAGAGATATATGTGGGTTAATAGGGTTAATCATACTTAATATCCAAATATATTTAGAGCAGGCTGGCGATCAGATATGGATATATCGTTAAATCATGTGCTAAATATAATTTAGACAGTGTATCCTAATTTATCTATTGCTTTTTTTAAAAAAAAATTTTTACAAGATTAAAAAAAAATTGTTAAAATATTAATCGGTTTTTTGTTATTATGTAAAGATAAGAATCATTATTAATTTAAATTAAGATATAACATAACTATATTAATTTATAGCGTATCATTTAAATCATACTCTTTGTTTATAATAACAAATGTTAAGTATTGGTAGTATATTGACAGTGAGCCATACTGCAAAACACCAGAAACAACATTTTTGAAATTGCTTAGGATATAAAATAATTTTAATAATCCTATTTTAATCTTGAATTTTAAAAAAAAAACAATTCTTACAAAGTTTTGTTTAATATTATATGTATCATGGATTCTTGAATAAAATACATTTCATTATTAAATATAGGTTTTTTTTGGAAGTGACCAAATATAATTATAAACATTTATTAAGAAGCGAGCTTTTGAGTATTGATCAAGGACTAATAAACATACTTACATTTCTGTAAATAAAAAATTATTTTAAAAAAATAGCACCCCACAAGGTTCGGCAATATGGCCAACGATATTTTAAACATTTATTTTTAAAAAATATTTTCATTTTATATCTAACATCTTAATCTGAAAAAATATTTTCTCATTTATTAGCAACTAATAAACTCCAACCCTCCCATCACGCAGCCACTTCTCCCTTTAATCAAGCTAATTCCAATCAACACCAAACTTACAATAATTCTCCGCATAATTTAAACAACAATAATGTTTACCCTCAAGGAATTCCGGATAACAACCCATCGCACACCCCCATAAATTACCCAAGCAATACGAATCGACATAATTTTGGTAATAGTTATACTAACAGACCTGCCCAACATCACATGTCTGTCTATCCTCCTTATTTCCAACAACCCACCACCACTAACCACCAAATGGACCATGAAATGAGCTCTTCAACATTGTCCCCAAAAGAAAAAAATAGTATAGAATATTTGGGTCAAGATAATCCATTGTCGAAATAAAACAATTTTCCTTATATCTCTTTTTTTTACTTTCTCCTTGATAATAAATTATATGGTTATTGTAGGAATTGCATTTCTTATTTTTTTTTCTGGCATGCTTATCTTAGGCATAGATAAAAAAAATAATTTATTCTAAGAATATGTCAATCTTCTTATTTTTAATCAGATTTTAATGTGATTTCATATTTTAATTTTTTTAGCTCTAATAATATCTAAATATTTTCTACCCACCTTCAATCGTGTTATTATTTATAAATTATCCAATTCAAACTTGTCAGAATTTTTATTCTATATTATTTTTTTCTTAGAGCCCCACTCATTTTTAATGTTAAATTTGAATATATTCACTATATATATATATATATATATTAAAATCTATCATAAATAAGAAATTATTCGAATTTGTTATATTTTTTTTCATTGATCATAATTTATTCAAATTTTGCTCTGAAAGTTAAAGTTCGCTCAATCTGGTCCGACCATAAAATTTTCTAAGTTGTCCGACCTTCGGGCTGGGTTGCGCTGATCTCTAATGCAAGTACGTATTTAATTTGAGCAAGAATAATAAAAAGAAATAGTTTTAGAGGATAATCATTTATTTTTTTACATCCTCACTAAAAAAAAGAAGAAAATGACATTACAATTTCAATAAAATTAATATTCCTTACCACCAGAAAAATGAAAACTTGCAAGATATAAGGTCAGGAAATAATAAAATAAATCACCTCGAATTAAGACAACAAAAATTATAAATTTATTGAGTTGCATATTATTTATATTATATATATATTTTTTTAAATCATTAATATAATTCGATCTTGAAACAATGAGTGACTTAAAGAAAAGATTTTTAAAATGATGATTTCTTTTTGCTCAAATTTTGAGGAAAAAAATGATCATAAAATTGATGATTATTCCATCATGAAGGTTTTTTTATGCATATAAATTACAAAAGATTTACTCTATAAGCGATATTTTTATTGAAATGACTGGGTAGGGTAAAATTTGAACATTTTAGCTTAATTTGGATACTTAATTGATTTTAGTATAGGCTAAAAAGTATTTGATCCATTATCCCTTATTTTGGTTTATTTTAATTTGGTGGTATTCTATTTTTCATTTTTTCTTGTTTTTTTTAAAAACAAATATCTTTTGCTTTTATGGCTATTTAGTTGATACTTAAAAGACGGCTCACCGGCTATCAAGTATTAAGGACCTAGGGAACGGCTTTAAATTTTTTTTAGAGATGTTATTTTATTATCGTAACCCAGAGTTTAGCTCCATATATTGGAACTTTCTTTTTAAAATTTTCGTAAGGAATCTGAATCCATTTTAAGATTTACCGGAAGGTCATTTTATAAGGGTTTATTTATTGTTTCAATATTTTTTAAAAAAAAATTAATTTAATAGAGTTTAAAAACCAGAACTCTCGGAACCACGTAAGAATCTAAAAACCTAGTGACCATTTTTCGACATTATAGGAATAAAAAACCCCGTTAAAGAAAATAAATTAATTCAAATCCGGAAGTAGATCTATTTTTATTCCACGTTATTAACTATGCTTTATAATCTCGAGAGCATATGTTGGAGAAAAAAAATTCGTTGGTAATATTAATAACGTATAATAAATACTTTGACTGATAAATTCATTCATATTATCAGATTGTGGCACGCCATTTTAATTTCCCCATAAACCATTTGCATTAAAATTTTATGAAAAATGGTAAAATGGTGTGTTAACCGGTGATTTTGTATTTAGAGATCAAATTCACTTTAATAATGAATAATTGTCCTAGGATAAGTATTTTTTATATTGGCAAATTTTTAAAAAGAATTGACATCTAATGGTGTCGCTATCTTCCTTAGTTAGATAATAAAACTTTGCATTGGTCAATCGATGCTCATATCCTCTCAATATATACTCCTCAAAGCGGTAATAATAGAGTTCCAGATGTAACTCTTATGGAAATTCTTAAAGATGGTATAGTTATAATAGGCGGATTTAAAATCACATGTGAAAATGTCAAGAGAAGGATATAAAATATACCATAGTTTTTGATATGGAGAATTAAATGAAGGAGGAGAGCATGTATATAGTTTTGCGCGAGTCTTTGACCTTACCTTCAATAAAAGAGAAACATTTAGCATGTGTTTATAATAATTTATATAATCTTTTAGCTACACGAATCATCCAGATAGATTACATTCTAATTTCACATAAAAGCTTTATGATGTAATAGACCGTAAAGTCATCCCATGTGAAGACATTGCCTCACAGAACAAATTACTAATCATGGATTTATTCTTTATAAATAAATCCTCACAAAACAAACCAAGACTAAAATCACATCAATTGTGGGATTTTAAAATCAATGACAGATATCTTAGCAATAATTACAAACATTGAAACTATCGATTCTTAACAAAAAAATGTGGACAAATATCTTTCTTCTAGATTAAAAGATACTGCTACACCTACCCTCGGTGGAACAAAATAAATAGTGTAATAAGAATATACAAATAAAGGACAATAAAGACTATAAAATATTGCAAAATTTATTAGCACAGATGACAAATAGAAATATAAAGATTTAAATAGAATGGCACCAAAAGTGGTGGCTTGATCATCACTGGAATATGAATACATGTACGAGCAACTTCACACAAAAGAGAAGGGAGATAAAATCTACAGATTAGCCAAACAACGAGAGAAAAAAATTCAAGAGAAAAGAGATAATGAATAGATGGAAAAAATATTTTCAGTAGCCTCTCACCTTTAATCTTATATACTAAATGAAAACCAGCATGACAAGATGTCATTCAACGCAATGAATAAAAAATGGCCCCAAAAATATAAAAATGATAAGGCAAGAGAGTGATAATATTCCAATTAAAGCCTAAAGGCACCAGCATATGAATGAATAGATTTCCTTCAAAACTATGCAACAAAATACTGTGAAACGAAGAGATTCCAATATAAAGGTGTAAAGCTATTTAGTTCCTATCTTCAAAAATAAGGGGGAAATACATAATTGTCAAAGTTACAGGGGCGCAAAAATGATGTCACACTGTTTAAAAACTACGAAAAAATATTTTTTAAAAAGTTAAGGGACATAGTCGAAATAGGGAAGATTCAGTTAAGCATCGTGTCTGGAAAATCAATGACTGGTACAATTAAACAAATGAAGGGGAAAAGCTTCATATAGTCTTTTTCAATCTAGAAAAAGTTTTTAATAGAATTTCAAGAAAGCTTTTCTGGTTTTACGCAGTATAAGGGTACTAGAAAAATATCTAAAAATCATACAAAGCATGAATAAAAACCATACACCAATGATCCAAAGCACAAATAGCATAATCAAGATTTCCAATAGCCAAGTGATTTTGTCAAGTGTCTGCTCTTAGTAGCGCCTCATAAAATCATATTTTTGAAATTTTATTTTTTGTAAAAGTGAAAATTTTGTCCAGCGCAAATGACTTCAAGGGGCTTCTCAAACCATTAATTTTTTTAAGGCTATAAAATAAATTTATTGTTCAAAATATAATACTTTTAAACTGAAATTAATTATATATAAAAATTGAAACTTAATTGATTTATTTAATAAACATTTTGAAGATATAAAGATAAGGATCTTAAGGAGAGATTATGATTTCTTAGCATAGTTCCTAAATACCAATCATACATAGCCTTGAATCTTCTTTCCAAGATTTTGAAATATTGCTTTCATATTAACTACCATAATTGACGTCTATGATTTAACAAGCCCCGCTTGCTATAAATTGACTAATCATGATTTAATGATATCTAGACATATTAAATATTCATAAAACTTTCTCAAATTATAAAAGAGGGTTAAATCTTTGCCATAAAATTTAGTTTATCAAAAATAAAAATTCTGTCATTTAAAAATCTTTTGAATTTTATATCAAAATTTTGTTTTTCAAATAAATTTTTTTTATATATTGGGTTAAAATTTTAACTTTCTAGTCAATTTAATTTTAAAACTAGATTAAGTGGTTTGACAAGCACCGGGGTTTACCTAACCCCAGTCCTTCCTATTCTATAAATGCACTGTATTTGAAATTCGACGTTGTTTTTCAGAGAAATCAGAGGCCTAAATTTAATTTATCTAAGGGGCAAAAATAATCAACTTACATGTTTTCAGAATATTAACGACTGTATTTACCATTTACGTAAATTAAATATAAAATACCTTTACAGGTAAATTGTAATTTTGCAGGGAAATAAATCTTTAATAGGTTAAAACGATACTTTATATTAAATACGATGCAATCGTAAATTTTGAGCATTTGAACAAAAGATTTTTTATCGTCTGCCTACTTGTATTAATTTACAAAATATTATCATATTTTAAAGGTATAGATGCTTATAATAAAAATTTATTTAAAACATGTATAATTTAGAAACTTTAATATTCCTTATCAAACACTAGATATGGTATTAGCCTACAATTGTTTTATATTTATAATCTAAATATATATTTAGAAATGGATTCCATTTATGGAATAATTTAATCGTTAAAAATAACTAATTGCCATTTATTTTTTTTCAATTGAAAATATTTTAAAATTAATGTTAAATAATTATATATTTTTTGAAAATATTAATTATGGAGTAATTCTATGCTATCATTATCAGGTTATACGATAATTTAAATGAGAAAGTATTTTTAGCAGTTTTTTTAAAAATTAGTTTGTTTTCTATCCATCATAAAAAAGTGTGTTTAATCTTTTTAACATAGTAATTTACCTTTAAGGTTGTGTCAAATTTTTGATAATTATTTTCAGAGGATAGTAAATATTATAATAATGAATATTTCGAAATATATATTTTTGAAGATATAAAACCTTTTTGAATTGGTAAGAATCAGCCTCTCTTTATCATCAGTGTTAACATAAATAAATTTTTGTAAAAAAAGACGTCATATTTTTAACGATCCTGATAAACCTCGAGAAATCTTTGGCCGACAAATCAAATATCACCGACAATGTGAATGAGACGGCAAAAAACTGCTATTGCATTTACACGCGTGCGCTTAAAACCAAATTTGTTAAACTAGTGATTAGATGCGATATCGACAAGAAGTATTTCGCCTTATTCGATTTCGTGGGAACCATGATCAATCTTTTCAAATATCAAAGAAAAGTGAGTGAACTTTATATCATACAAACTATTTACACGGGATTAAGCAACATAGGAGTAGTGAATTCCGGGCTGTTTCCTAAATTGCCAAGGCTCGAGGAAGTTTTCCTGAATAATTCTCAAATCACATCAGTGCAGAAAAATGCCT